AGGCTTGCTGGGGGCCACAATCCAGAACATGTGCATGTTGTCTAGGGCCCCCATGAGGACACATTCTCACACAAGTGTGCCGCTTTGGCGGCAGACGGGTGTGTGGGCGCTTGGCGCTGAACCACACAAACGTGGCCAACCTTGATGATCTGTGAACCGAATGAGAGAGAGAATCTGGGGTCCCTTAAAACAACACACAAACAAAGCACCAGAAATGAACAAACGAAAGCACGGATTAACTCACCTTCAGTCATGTTGGCGCGCTTGAATGCACAGCCCAAGCCTCGGCGTCCAACCTTCTCGATGCAGAGCCCTTCCCAATGCACAGCCCAGTCACAACGACAAAAAGTTTAGGAACACCAATCTTTTGTGTGTGTGCGTGCTTGTGTCAGAGAGAGAGAGAGAGAGAGAGAGAGAGAGAGAGAGAGAGAGAGAGAGAGAGAGAATGGTGCATTTGTGTATGTGTGTGTGTGTGTGTGTGTGTGTGTGTGTGTCAAGAAACCCCGAACTCTCTCTCGCATTCCATCAACAAGCCGTCACAAACCATCCATAAATCAAAAGAAGTATATGTTATGTGCCTGATTGAAAACGAATCTAGCATAGCATACACATGTTCCCATACACGTGCGAAATTGCAAGTAGACTTGGAGAGAGAAAATCCACACCAAACCAGATGATGAAATTGCACAGCGGAAGCACACAAATACCAAGATTAGAATTGAAACGAAATCAATTCTAATTTACCGTCTCTCCCAGTTCAATCAACAGCACAACTCCAAGAATCCCAACCACGTTAACAACATCTATGAACAAATTATTTACAGAGTTTCATCGAGGGAGACTTCTTCTTCCTCCCACACCTTSGAGCTCACAGCTATGGCGCAGGCCTGCGCCCAATCTATCAAGCCCACTAATCGCCACCAACCCTTGTATCCCCRAACAGTCACTCAGCAGTTCAACCGCGATGCCCACTGCAGATGACGTGTCCGATCAGCAAAGGAGGGAAGCTCCCTAGACGAAGAAGAAGCACAACAGCTCGATGAAGATGGTGACCTGCCACTTCGAAGCAGGCATGGAAAAGCTGCTTCGATGGCAGCTGTCAAAACCCCAACAGAACAGCGGTGGAGGAAGCATCTCACAAAGCAGGGCCTGATGCCCCGGGGCCAATTCCACACAAGCCAGGTAAACCCAGCTATGGCTGTCAGCTTCCCTTCAACGAGGAGGGAGGAGCAGCACTTGAAATTAACGCAGCTTCAGCAGTGACCTCCAGCAGCACTTCGTGGAAAAAAAATGACGAACCGAACCCCTAAAACTTTGCCCTCGGTACTTTTGTTCCTCTCCAGCCTCCCAGACCCGACAGCCTACAGCTTAGTTTTGCATCTACAGCCTACAGCTTAGTTTTGCATCTACAGCCTACGATTGTATCTAGACAGAAAACAGCACCAGAGGGGAGAGGCCTACGTTCCTCCTACTGAAACAGCCCAAAACAGCCCGAAGGGTCTATGACCAGCCAACAGAGATTGCTGTTGACAGTTCTAGGGATCGAGTCCAACAAGGCTCAAAATAAACAGGCAAACACAGCCAACAARCAAACAAGCAAACAAACAGGTTGCGGGATCAAATCCCGAAGGACTCAAAACCAGGCAACATCAAACAAGGTTAGTGTACAGCTCGCATGCCACTGCAATTCATTGCATATAAACGGGCAATGTAAACCATCCATAACACAAAAGAAGTATAAACGGGCAATGTAATAGAAAATGCATGGTTTCCCATGTTTGTGTGGTTGAGTGGGAAGTGCCCACACACCCGCATGCCGCGGAAGCGGTACACTTGCACAGATGCGTATATATTTTTTCAATCTAAGGAAAAAGGTAGAGGGAAGCGCCACGTGCCCACTCACTGTACAACTCCAGCCTGCTCCGCAAAATCACATACCAGGTGCAGACACAAACATTCGGGCATTTATCGATGAAGGACAAAAGGCAACATCCTTAACAATTACATTCCATGGCCCACAAAAAATAAGTGCACAACAACAAAGAAGGCACTTACAACAAGAAGCGCCGACCAGAACCTCCAATGGTCTGAAAGAATTGGAAGAGCCCTCTGAGTCGGCCCACAAAGCCACAAAATAACTCCACAGAATTTCCACACGACACCAGGAGCACTACTGCTTGAACACCATAGAAGTCCCCCATCTTCCAACCCATGGGAGTGACACCCACATCAAAGACTCTCTGAGCGTTCTCATTGCCTGTGTTTGTGTGTGTGTTCAGAACACCTGGAATCTAGCCTAGAGTAGCTTAGAGTAGCGCAGAGTTCAGGCGACATTGTCTAGTCCAGTTTTCCTACCGGGCTTAGTGCAAGCGAACACAAAAGCTTGATACTATACGTTGCATGCGTGAACTGCCCCTGCCCCACACACGGTACCTGTGCTGGCCACGGAATGCACGAGCGTATGCACACAGTGCAGCGGTACAGCGTACAGTACCGGCACTGGCCCGGTAATGAGCGACGCCGACACAGGCACGCGGACCTGATAGTGTGCGTAGTACTGGCGCAGGCGTGGTGCCGTGCGACGGGTTTGCCTTCTAAGTCAAAACGATCAGCAGACAATCGGGACTGTGGGCAGCTGAAAATAGGAGGGGCCGAATTGTTTGCTGGGTGCAAGCCTAAGAATTAGTGATAATTATTAATTATACTGTCGTGGTTTTGCCAAAAGGATTGTCTTGGGGAATTATGTAATGCTCCCCGCACTCTGATGCCTGACTGCTAGCAAAGCTCTATCAGGGGACTGCTTGCCTGCTTTACTTTGTGCAAGAGGCAGACAATGAAGAATGAAGTATGACACTCAAAATGTCTGCAATCCTTCCTCTCTTTACCTGCTCGGTATTGCATGTCTGCTCATTCGAATTGCAGGTTGGTGCATGATACAGGCAAGCCAAGCCGATCAGACCGGTATCCTGCTCATGCTGATGTTGAAATTTGTTTCTGTTGGATTGCTAGTGTACTGTAGCTTTTGTAACATTTCCGCATTATGTGGAGATACTATTATTTCTCTGGGGTGTTTTGCCTATTCTTTCTATGGATTGGTGATTGTCAAGATAGCGCGCGCGCGCGTTGGTGATTGTCAAGATAGCGCGCGCGCGCAAGAGAGAGAGAGAGAGAGAGAGAGAGAGAGAGAGAGAGAGAGAGAGAGAGAGAGAGCACAACCTCCTCCTCCTTCTCCTTGCTAAGGGGTTATCATGGGTGTCTTCTGTTGGATGTTGCACAGGGCGATGGAAGAGGAAAAGGAGCGTCCGGCAATCACAGAATAGATTGTTGCGGTTCAATTCACCATTGATGGATGGGTGCGTATGTACACCTGCAATCTCTACCCAAAAGTGTCCGCCGTTCCGTGCATTCCCTCTCTCATTAAGAAAAAAAAAAGAGGAAAAACTCTGAAAAGTAGTGACGCACATACCAGTGCTGGTCCCCAGATGAACCCGGGGCCCCTCCCCCGCCCGCAACCCTGCTGGTCGGACGGGCGGTCCACCGGCCCAGCAGGTCCCCAGTCCAACCCAGCGCATCGCGTTTTGGGGGGGGTACTGGGGAGTCATGGGCATCCCCGCGATGGCCCAGACTGCAGGAGGCCGCTGCCTCCCTTAAAAAAAGAAAAAGAAAAATGGGGCCTTTTGGACCCCACTTGTTAAAAAAAAGGGTGGAGGATCTCGGCCACTGAGTTTTGCAGATCAGTGGTGGAGAACCACCCCAGTTTCTCATATGAGCAATGTGTAGCCCGCTCGATCACGGACCAGACATTATTGACAGGTCCTTACAGTCGTCCACTCTGAGAGCCAGGACAATGTTTCAGCAGTGGCTTGCTGAGATTATTCTTTCGGAGTCCGTGCACTCTGGGCAAAAAGCTATGGGTTTGTGTTTCGTGAAGTGAGAATAGCAGTGCTGTCCGAGGTGCAAGCCCAATAATGGACCTCGGTCGACTACATGTATCTGGATAGACTGCCAGACAAGATACTTTCAGACTTATGAACCACCGTACATTGAAAAAAACAAACAGAAAATGCTCACTGGGTGACCTGAACCGGCCGGTTGCTGTCCCAGCCTTGGTACATAACCATCCCACAAGAGTTTCAAAAGGAAGAAAAATTAGAAAATACTTGAGCCAAAGTGAGAACAGAAGTTCTTTGTTAGTGAGAATTCATAGCCACTGCTGCTACTCGATGGGGGTTGGGGGAAGTAGGTGGGAGGCACTGCTACTGGCCAAATGCTTGGTCTTTGCGTTGCCCCCCCCCCCTCTCTTAGGGCGGGGGGCAACATGCATCCCCTTAATTGTAAAAGGTAGCTATGCTTGCAGGGGTCCCCTGTATAGGCATAGTAGTAGTGCTAGGTAGGTAGTGAAAGGTGAAATTGAGAGACGAATCTAGCTTAGTTTAAAAAACATCTTTGCTAGTTTTGTGAAGAAGACATATAAAATAGGTTTCCGGCTGCCTCGGGCGGGGAAGCCGGGGTGGGGTCTCGCCCGTGGTACCCGGAGCACTGCAACAATGCACTGAGTTTTTTCCCCCCTTTTTTTTCGTAAGCCAGGCCATTACTGCATTTCATCAGTACTCTCCAAATCGCGCTTTTTTTTTTGCTGCGTGTCGGAGGTGGGCTATGGCAGACAAGGAAGGAGGGGGGCTGTGGTGGAGGAGAAATTATGGGGGGATGGACGGAGGAGGGATGCGGGACGCAATGGCGGAGGAGGGAGGGAGCATGCAGCGAGGCGATGGAGTAAGGAGACGGCAGACGGAGTAAGGAGGGACGCTATGATGGATGGATGGAGGGAGGCAATGGAGAGGGAGGGAGGAGGGAGGGAGG